CTTCATTTACCTTTGTTATTTCGTTTCTATTGATAAAGGATTCCACTCATTTATGATTCCATTCCATCCACTCATAAAGTTCACTTTCCATTATTGCTTTGCTCATCGCCGTCGTCAGTATTCTGTATTTTTAGCTGGAAATTTTTAAGTATTTCATATCTTTTCTGTTGTTTTTGGAGAATGCAAAAATCTTAAAATTCTGCATATTTTTACTTTTTTATTGATGCATTCATGCAAACGCTGCTGGGAATGCTATAATAATTATCGTGTCGTCTTCATATGTTTTACTTATGATGCATTTATCGTAATTTTTGTTTTATTCCATTGGTTTTTCGTAACATTTTTGTGACAAAGATGGTGAAAGAGATTTCTGAAAAAGATGTTAATTAATTAGAATCTTGGTAGGTATTTCATTTCATATTCAGGAGGAAAGCCAGAGGCAGAATTCAAAGATGAATCAGGCAACGACTGGAGTGGAAGTGGATTTGATTCAGTTGGATGCGTAAGTTCCGATTTCTGAGTTGTTTTTGATCATTCGTGATTGTTTGATTGCTTATGTATATTGCTTGTTAAGTATGCGAATGCTTCTGCATATTACGCTGGTGGTGTCTTCTTAAGGTATCGATTTGGCGAATATCATTTATCGAATCTATTCTTTTTTTCACTCTTCTTTTATTCAATCAGAAATTTCCATTGTTTCATTGTTTTCTCATANCCAAATATTAGGTTTGGCAGAGATACACTGGCAAATTGATATAATGGAATATTGCATAACATAATAGATGGATCGCATATGTTGCTTAGTGCAAGCATGAAACAATCTCGTTCAATCAATTTCAAATTGTCTCATTTAATTTGACGACGGAAAGAGGCGAAAAACCTTGTAGCATAATGTTTTGACAATCAGTCACAGCTAGCAGATGAAATGCATTCGTAAGCAAATCAAAGAGCGAAACGTTGAAAGAAAATTAAATTGCCCGAATCGAGCGAGCTGAATGAGTTAAAATCTGAATAAGAAAGATGAAGAATGTGTTAAGATTGAATCGGAATTTGAAAGACCGTTTGCTGACTGACGCCTTTTGATGGGATATTGAATTGAATGAACCACAAACGATGAATAGTATTTCATAGCAATTTCGTCTTATTTTTTCCCATCTTGAGACATTCTTTTATTCATTTTATCATTCTTTCGTTGTGTTATTCTTTGTTAGTTTTCTTTTAG